GGATTTCAGTTCAGGTTGTGAAACCTTTTCTCCGCTGTGGAGACTCTCAGCTCACGGTGCTGTTCTTGGGATAACAATCTCGGAAGAAGGGCAACTGTTGGGTCAGAGGAGGAAGGAGATTAGGCACAGAAATACAAAAAGAGTGATTACCTTTTGAATCGGCTAGTAATATCAAGCAGGCTAGGTGCCAGATCAGATACTGTTTGATCTTTCTCTTTCCCCTGCTCCTGCCGTCTGGAACAGTGCTTTCTTTTGGTTGTTACTTGCATGAGCTCAAGTCAGGCTGCGCAGCGCGTGGCTCTTTAACAAGAATGCCCTGTTTGCGCAACGCATCTGAAAAGCTCAGCCAGTGACCATGGGACCATCATGGGACCTGCCTTCCTGACAGAAGAAAAAGAAATGAGCACGTTTAATATTACGGGAACCCTTGCTTTGACGCAAGCGAAGCTAATTTCGCTTCTTCTCTGCAAAAATAGCTGTGGCTGCTTTTGTGAGGAGTTGGCATATTAAAAATATTGTGGCTTCTGTGCCTTAAAGTTGCTCAGGTCTGCACTGGGTATGGAGAAACCTCCTGGGACCAAACCTTTAAGGGAAGCATAATTAAAAGCATGTGCTATTGGTCTGCTCAAAATGTGTTTAGGGTTGTCTTAAGACCTCCCTGGATTACTGTTCTCTTTTTAAATGGCATAAGGAAATCCTCCTGAATTACACAAAGCTCTTGTTTTCAGGATTGATCCCCTGATAATAACACACAGGTGCTTAACGCAACCCAGAGAGGATTCGCAGTGCTGATGAAATTCAGCACAGGCGCGCCCTAACAGGATCGAGGTTACACTGGTGCCATTGACTATACTGTGAACGTGATGGAAAGGCAACCCAAGTGTATGTCACATAGAAGAAAAGTACGAATTACGGTACAACGGGTGGGCTGGGAAACACTGTGCTGAACTGCAAAAGTACCTTGGTGCAGTGCCGTTCCTTGCTTAAACATTGCTCGTTCCCCTATGTGATCACGCTTGACTTTAATGTCGTTGCAGAGAAAAGGCTAGCATAGGCTTGAGGCTTTGTGCCTTTGAGGAACTGATACAGACAAAAACAGAAAAATTGGATCTTTTTAAATTCGGTTCTGTTTTTTCCAAAGGAAGGGTCTGGAGAAGTGATTTTCGGCGAGCTGTGGTACAGCTGGCGCGAACGCGCTGGAGAACAGTGTTCACGGGGCCGGGACGGGCTCCCTGCCTCACCGCCCTGGACAGGACACTCTACTGCCGGGAAGGAAGTGACCGGCAGTCCCTCCTAACAGATAAATGAGGTCGTCCATCAGGGTGCGCCCTTCTTGACAGCGTGCGTGCTTCTGTCTCGTGGTGTGGGCCCCCCATTCTAGTGCTTTACTTGTGTGAGGTGGATTATCACCCACAATACAGCCCCACCCCCCACCCCCTCCAAATGGAACATCTGGAAGCAGCGATACGAAGGGCTAGTCTTCAGTCGAGCACAGTCCTGCCTGTTGATGTTGAAAAAGCCATGTTCATAACAGGAAGTGACTGGAAACATTCTCTGCTCAGTAGAGACAGTGCAGGGTTTTGCTCCCAGCTGATAGGAGCCGGCGGAAAATGTGCTTGATTAAAAGCGAAGCTATCCGTGAGCGCTTGAGCATTTTAAAACAATCGGGGCGGCTGTGGGGAAATCACAGAGATGCATTTGACGGGGGGAAGCTTAAGCGGCAAAAAACCAAAACAAAATAAAAAGCAAACCGGATTTGTTTCCATTTCGGTAGCGAGTGGGATGCCAGCACCAAAAGAGGCACGCGAAGGAAAGGGTTTTCTCTTTCTTTTAGCAAAGCAGATGGGGACGACTGCGAACGTTAAAAAAAAAAAAAAAAACGATTTCAGTTGTGCAATCTGGGAAAATAAAAGGCAACAAGGGAAAAAGTCAATAGTGAACACAGCTGCAGGAAAAAGCCCGGCTGTTTTATATTCAACAATTGGTATGAGATGAAAAGTGGGAGGTGGCAGCCGGGGAATAAGAGCCCATTGATAACTCCACAACGAGGTGCAACAATATCCCTTCCCCCTTTCTCCCTGTTGTGACATGCTGCGATTGGCACGTGACGGGTGCCCTGACGTTCACCTGCGGCTCAGCTCCGGCAGGCGTTCGGGGCCAGTGACAAGTCCGCGAGAGGGATCTCATCTGCTTGCTCCTGTGCCGGAGAAAACTCCCGCCTTATCCTACCTGCCTGGGCTCTCCGTACCCTGGGCAGGCTTTTCCCAAGCTGCCTGCTGGCGGGCAGAGGGACTCGCGCCTGTCTGATTCCCCGGCCTGTGTTTTGTCTGCTGCTGTGTCCCGGCTTGTTCTTCCGAGCAGGACAGAACGATGGTACAATCAAATCAGGCATTCTGCGACGTGCGGAAAAACAGCAATTACAGTAGGAAAAGCCGGATTTGTGATGTTTCTGTTTGTTTTTTAAATGGGAACGCTTTAGATCTTAGTGTGCGGCAATTAAGTACAGGAAACAAATCCCACACTCTGGAGCCAGTGTTCAAAGCTTGAGTCTAAGACTGGCAAAGAAATGCAGTAGTCTAATGTTTTCAGAATATATTTTTTAATATATTTAACATGACATTTAGTTGGGGTTTTTTTTAAGAGCTTATTGAACTGCAAAAGTCAGTTGAGGACACACTTGCATGTATTTCTACAGTAGGGTGTTTACCGGACTAGCTTGAGTGAAGCAGCTGGCTCAGGGGCACGCCCACCCAGAGCCCTAACCACTTCTCCACGCTGCTCCAAGCAAAAACTGCTGTCAGTGTACTCTCTCTTGAAGTCTGCAGGACTGTGCTCATTTAAGGTGTGTACATCCTGTGATTCTGTCATTAGGATTCTTGTCCGTTCATGGGGAAACGCAGTTGGGGGCTTCAATAAATGGCTGTAAACCACATGACCAGAAGCTGCTGGAGCGTCTGTGTGTACCTGCAACAAGACGACAGAGCCCTGCGTGATGTGGGCCTGCTGGGAACTGGATTTCCTGCCGGTGCTGCAGAGAATCGTCTTCCTTCACTTGGAGTGCAGTCTGGGACAGTTTGAGGTTGCCCCACTGCTGCAGAAGATGTTCCGTTTTTTCGAACCTTAATCCGACCGTTTGCTTTCTCCACATTAGTTCTTGCGGGGGCCTGGCTGGGCAAGTGCACAGCTGGAGAATGGCTTCTGAGTTGCAGCTCGGACTTGATCTTTTGACTGGAGCTTTCTGCCACAGGCGGCCCTTTGTTGTGTCTGAGAAAATGGCAGCGTTCGCCCACGTCATTGAGGCAGACGGAGAGCTCGCGTAGGAGCCAAGGCCCTCTTCCGTCTGCACTGCAAAGAGATGAAAACCTTCGGCAGATGAGCCATCCAGAGGCCTTGGAAGGAGGCCGTGTTTTAAATTCCAATATTCTCCGACACCCTCGAGGAGGAAAACGCCTTGAAATTCCCCTCCTTGTTCAAGGACTTTCTGATGAGAGCGGCCGGCTCGCCGGGCCTGGAAAAGACAGGTGCAGGCTCTCGCGTAACTGCAGAGCAAACGGGAAGAAACACAAAGCGGATACAGCTGTGTCCCAGCAAGGAGACGTGGGGGGTGATTGCAGAATGACACCCTCGCTCACTGATGGAGCAGACCTGCCATCAGTCAAAGGAGCTGTGGTTTGAGAAGAGGGCAGGTTGATGGGCCGTTTTCTACAAGCTGCCCGCGTCCTCTGTCCCGTCTTTTCTGCTCGTTGGTCTCAGTTTTCCCGATCCTTTCCGGTTTGACCTGATGATGTGCGGGAGCTACGGATGAAAACTGCAAATGCACAAAACCGTCCTCCTAGACGGCCTGCCCTCGGCCAGCCGGGCCCTGGAGTCTGTGACCGTGGGCGCCGACAGAGAGACAGATTGATGGCTTTGACGGCAGCCAGTGACATTCCTGCTCCCGCCACACAGACAGCGTGGCCGGCGGGTGGGAGAGGGGGCACACCGGGGGGGATGCTTCTGGGCTGGTCACAGCTACACGCCAGGGGAAGCCAAGCGCACTGTAAACGAGAGGAGCAGACGAGGCAGGAGTGAAATGCAGAATGAAAATAAACTCAAGGGCTCCAGGGAATGTAGTCAAATTCCTTTGCTGTAACTTATTAAGGAAAATACAGTGATCATTCCGCCGCAACGCGTTCTGGAGATCACTGATCTGAGCTGCACTCACGTTGGGCCTCCTAGTTCACAACGTCTTCGAAAATAAAATCTCTCTGTCTGTGTAGATAGAACGTAAGGAAACATAGTCCAGGTGCTTTTGAGGCTCGACAGCTGGGGAGATGGCACAGTCCGGTGTGTTCCGGAGCCGCTGAGCTGAGCAGAGGCGCGTCACAGCGGTCTGTGATGATCGGACGGACACCAGATAGGCTAGTTTACGGGGCTCTGCAACTGGCCATCGGTCCAGGTTACAGCGAGGGCGCAACACGTAGGTGGTGCACCGGCAACTGAGGTGCCAGGGTGAAATGAACTGTGCAAACGCGCTGATCGTTCCTTGCGCTCCGTGTTTCCCCCTTTGCCAGTCGGCCGCTCGCAGCGGTGAGCGGGACCCATGATCGCCTGCGGCCCGGCGGCGACAGCGAGGCCCGGCCTCAGACAGGCTCCCCTGCTCGGTCGGGCGTCTTTGTTCCCGCCGACGGCCGGCTAATCCGGCCTCTGCAAGCGTGCCTCCCCTGGACAAAAGAGACGGAAAGGTCCACCCGCATTCCTGGCGGCCCCGGCCGCGGAGACGTCAGGGATTACATCATGGCATTGCCATGCCGGGGCTGTGGGACCTGCTGGAGCGAGGGGGTGCCAGGCCGGCGCTGGGCTCGTGTGGCATGGCCTCCCGTGGCTCGCTGCTGGGCAGCGCTGGCAGCTCGGGATGGAAGAAGACCCCCCCACCCCCCCATCCCTTGCAACTCCTTTTCCACTCACAGGTAGTGGGTTAGTGGGATCTTGCAAAACTGCAAGGGAAATGTTTTGTTCAAGAGTGTGAAAGCTTTGGCTTTGAACTCGGATGGCGTTTAATTGCTTTTCCTGTGTGGAAATCCCCTTGGTGGCATGATGTCAGACGACCTGAATTCCTGCCCGCACAGAGCTTCTGGCTCGCCATCAGCCAACCAAAGGTTAAGATGTTTCTTCATCGCTTTTGGTATTACCTGGCAGAAACCTCTGAAATACCTAACTGGAAAACATTTCAGGCATTTCAAAGGTCAACTAAAATCTCAAGGAGAGAGAGAGAGAAGAGAGAAAACATATTGGCTGAACTTGTTTGAGAATCTTTCGCTTGGTCTTTTTTAGAATGGCGTGTTGGATGTTTTTGGAGTGACTTACAGTAGTATGTATAACACCCGCTGTTTGTGAGCAGCTTTCCAAGGAATGACCTGTCTGTTGTGACTTATTTCTGACCTTGCATCTCTCATTGCCCACAGCCTGGGAGAGGAACTGATGTGTGTGGATGCTGCCAGGAGCCCAGTGTGGATCTGATCCTCTGAGGTTCATCCGTGCAGAATTAATTCAACATGTTTTAAACCAGTGCTAATCCCCCACCCCTCCAACCCACTTCCAAGGCAACCACAGAGCAGGAGCATGTGATTGTGTGTAGGTTCCTTATATTTCTCCTCTGGACGAGAAGTTGTTTTATGCTTCGACCTCTTTTCAGTAAAGGTGTTCTGGCAGTGCACAACACAGTGACCATTTGGTAGTTTGTAGTTAATTGATCCCAGGATCTCATCCAGCTGTTACCCAGAAGAAACCAGCGTACCATCTTCAACAACATGACTGGGTGGCTTGTTCCACTCTCCCACAACCCTCTGGGTAAAGGTCTATCTGTCCTTGGTTATAAATGCACTTCCGTGTAGTTTCCACTTGTGTCCTCTGGTTTATGTTTCCCTGCTCATTCTGAAGAACTTTGCTGGGCTGATTCTGTCGATGCCTTTGACGATTTCAAACACTTGTATCGAGTTCACTTGTGTCCACAGTTTAGGACTAAAAAGTTCAGTTCCTTCAGTCTTCAGAGAAGACAGAGGTGACTACGCTCTAAAGGACATGGACCTGAGTGCTCATTCTAATCCCATCAGCCTTATTTCAGATTGTAAGTGTTTTCTTTTTTTGTCTGAAACTTGTTTTTGTACTGCACGTGTTCTGACACCGCTATCTGTGTAATGTGGAGCTTGGCCCTTATGAAGGACAGGAGCTGTGTAATTCATACATGCATCCATTTGCTGATTGGTTGATTGATTTGTTGAATGATAGATGTACTTTTTGGCTGATTGATTGATTGGATTAATCAATGGATGAACTGCTTTAATTGAGTGAAACGCTATAGTTGACCTTGTAGCATAGGATGCAACAAGCCTGCAAATTGGTATCTATTATGATGTAATGAAAAGATACCATGTTTATGGAAAATCTTTTAATTTTTCATTCGAATTTTTGTTTCCCGTGGGGATGAAAGAAGATGGAGAGACAGATTTATTTCTTTTCTAAATTTTAGGAGTGGTTTCTGGTCCAAGAGCCCAAAACGTTGTGGAATATTAAGTGGTGCATTTTTGGAAATATGTTTTCTGGAGAAAATACCAAATTCAGTTCAAACACACTGAATGATCTTGTAATAATAGCCACTTTGGTGCAGAGAAAATATTGATGGCTCTTTCTTAAACGGTTCAGTGTGCTTTTAGCACATAAATAAACAGTTGTGGTCTCTGCCTTGTCTTTCTGGCAGCATCGGTTCAAGTGTCTGACAGAGGTTTGGATAAACTGCTGTCGGATTGTCCTGCTTGATTGCTGTGCTTCTGGGAATTTTCGAAGTGTGAGCCCCACCTAGTGGTTAGTGATTGACTGGAAGCTGGAAGTTGCTGGCGAGGAGGCTAAGAGACAGTTCTGTTTGGCTCCAAAAGCACGTCTGGTCCCCAAGATTGAAATTTCAGACCATGTGAATAAATGCCCAAAACTGATTCTTCTCTGCTGGCCTCTGTTTTTCATTACAGATGTTCTTTTGGAAAAGATTTTTTTTATTTTTAGCTTCAGCTAACAATATATATATATATTGGGTTTTTTTTCAGTTTTGAATGAAATCCACAGGTCCTCTAAAATGTCCTTCTGTCTGGGACGTCCTTAATTCAGGACGTTATCATCGCTGCAGGCTCTGGGTCAAGGTTGGGCTCTGTGGGCATTAGGGGCTGTAGCGCTGTGTGCAGCCCCCCCTGTGCACCTCCGAGCTGTGCCATGTGCCTGTCGGTGTCTCCCGAGCGCGCTGTGTGACCCCTTTCTGTGCTCGGTGCAGCTGGCCGGAGTCGGGGGGGGCACGGAGCATGGCTGAGCCCCGGAACGATGGCACCAGCAGCCTGCAGAGGAAGAAGCCGCCCTGGCTCAAGCTGGACATCCCCAGCGCCCAGGCCTCGCTGGACGAGCCGCCCACCTTCGTCCAGGTATGGCGTGCCCGGAGGCTGATAATGCCCTTTTCCGTTTCGTGTTCCGTTTGTTTATTGCTGTTGTTTCAGGAAGAAACAAAGACCATTAGAAGGTATCATATACAGCAAATGAACAAATGTGAACATGACAGTCTTTGTACATAACAGTAATAGGAAAACAGCAAAGGTAGTGAAAGGACAGACGAGAGGGAGGCCACAGTCTTCAGGGACTTTCCTACATCTGGGTCGGTCTGCAAGCTCTTAGAAAAAGTTTAAAAAGGAGGTTGCCGGGCAGAATAAAATTGTGCAGCTGAGCCACAGAGGGAAAACCTCATTTTCCAGAAAATGCATCACGTCGCTCACCCAGGGAGTGAAGGTGGGTGCACCAGGTGCTTTCCATTTGAAAAGGAAGCTGGATTGACAATTGCCGATAGCTGAATTCGGATTGCTACACCGTCCCTCAGCTTGACCACTTACTCACTGGTGCCCCCGGTCCAGTGGTCCAGTGGTCCCGTGCCCGGTCTCTCAGCCTGTGCCCCGTTCTCCTCACTCTTCCCTCTCTGTCTTCGCCAGCCGTTCAAGCGCCAGGGATTCCTGAGGAGCATCAGCATGCCGGCGGAGACGACGCGCCTGTCCTCCCCGCCGGGAGACCCCCGCCGCCCTGCCCTGCAGCGCCAGCCCTCCATCACCCAGAGCATCAAGAGGTAGGCCAGCCAGGCCGGTGTCCGGTCCCCTCTGTCCCTCTCGGGCAATGGCCCTGGCGCCCTGCACGCTGGAGACGCTCTGAAACTCCGACACTGACGCCTGCATATTGACACAGGCGCACCTATACGCTCACAGGCCCCGGGACCCCGTGCCCACACTCGTACAGTAGGCTGGAGCGCAGAACAGGAGACCCTGCTGCTTCAAGCACCGTTCGTCGCTGTTCCCTGATCGCAAGGCATGTCTGTAGCATAACATTACACAGCTCTGTCAGCAGGGGGCAACAGTGTCAAATATACCAATAGACATATATTCACAGGTGATGATCTGATTCTGCACCTTCCCGTCAAAATATTAGGAGTTTTAATAAAAAAAAGATGCATATTTCCTTTTACACTAACGTTTCAGTTAGGGCGGTCCTTGTGTGAAATAGCATAGACTGTGCATTTGTGCTTGAGATCCTGAGATCTCGCGATTATTTCTCCTTAATGCACAGAGGAATGTCTGTTCCTCTTTGAGATTATGGGACTGTAGTTTTGATTCCATTCAGTTCAATAGAGCCTAACCAGCTCTTATTGATGAATATTGTGTACATCAAAGGACATATGATGGGAGGAAGAGTGATAGACCATGATCCCTCTGTATATTTAGTAGATTCTACCTATAAAAATGACCGCAAAAAGACAGCAAACTGCTTAAAGAAAGTGGGACTGTATTATTTCTTGCCTGGCTGTGTTGCATTTGTGCATGTGTCAGTGTGGGCATGCACAACCATCAATGTAGGGACCAAATGAGAAAATATCACCACACAGATAAGACATTTTTACTACTTAAAGTAAGTCTGGGGAACTCTACACAGCATGAATGTTTTTTTTTTTAAATAAAGCAAATACCAGCCCTCTCTGCTTCATGGCTGTTTTCTCAGCGTGGAGTGTGCAATAGGAATAGAAAACAGAGAGTCAGTGAGATGTCGTTTGTCTGTGTGTGAGCAGGAGCACACCTGCCTCACCGCCTGTGTTACTGTCTTCTCCTTTACTGACTTTGCATGCCCTCTTTGCACGCCCTCTTTCTCTTCCAGCTCCTGCATCTCACTCCTTTTCTCTCTTTCTCTCTCTCTTTTTTCCACCCCTTCCCTTTTTTCCCCCCCCTCCTGCTTTCCTCTCTGCCCTGCGCCCCCTCGCCCCCTGGCGCCAGCAGCAAGAGGGTGCACTTTGAGCGGATTAACACTGTGCCCGTGAAGGGGCACCGTGCTGCCCGCCGGGCGCGAAGGAAGCCACAGTCCTTGTCCAAACTCTTCCTGAGGTACTTCCGGGGGAAAGGGGAGCAGCCCCTCAGGCAGCAGGGCTCCACAGGGAAGCGGAGGGTTAATGTCTCTTGAGCGTTCGCACGGCTCTTAAATAAAAATGATCGCACCATCACAAGTCTACCGCTGGGATTCAAAAGAGTCATAGGCTGCTGAGCATATACTGTACAGCAAGCTTGCTTGTAGAAGCTGATTTTCTGAAGGTGTCTAGCTGTATAAATGCTGTCCAACCTGGCGCTGAGCTTGGGTCCCTGTATGATCTGAACATGCACGATTCGAACCCAGGCAGTGAAACTGGGTGTGCCCAGGGGGCGGCGCGCAGTTGGTGGAACGTCACTGGGTTTGGGAGGGTTTAAGTCAGTCAGGGTATCCAGAGCATTGCAGGGCACAACTGCCGCTGGGATTGTCCAGGTACTTGTCCTCCTCTGGTTCAGGCTGTTCCCTGTGGATCAGAACTGCTAAACCAACACCCACCCACACGTGAAGACCGCTGGCACTGTGCTGTAGAAGATGCTTTCTTTCTGATGAGACGTTAATCTGAGGTCCTGACTGCCTGGTCATTAAAGATCCCCTGGCACTGTTAATTAGGCTACGGGGTATATTACTCACAGAGGGGAAAAAATAGGAGAGACAAGGCCCTTCAGGATCAGGGTTGGAGGCCTCAGTTCTAATGCCATACGTTAAACACAGTTTCTCACTGTTGAGTGTAAGGCAGGTCATTTTATTATCCTCTGGTTTGCAGACATTTAGCTCTTCAGTGCCAGAGCCTGTCAGCTGGCGATATGTTCTTGCTAGACCAGTCGTGGAAATCCAATCGTGTGCTTCTTCTAAAACGTGGGTCCTACTCAGCCAGTCTCAAGAAGCTGCATGGGCAGAGTGAGCCAGTCACGCATTGTCCCCCCCCCCCTCCATTTATAGGCACGTTAACAGATGAGCAGAAGGAAGGTGATGAACAGGGGAAGTTGGGTCAGGACACCATATTCATGTGTAGATTAATGGTATGGATTCAGGTACTGTTTCTTGTGATCGTGAGGGAGAGAAATTAAGCATTGTGCTCGGCTTCGAACCCCCGAAAAGGGCCTCTCAATATGTTTACTCTCACAGGAGGCTGAAGCAGCTCCAGGGGCACAGCAGGATCACACAGAGGGGTCGTATTGCAAGACCATTGTAATTCTTGCCGTTTCCAGCAAGTCTTGCAATTAGGACACCAGCCAGTGGAAAGAGCTGTTTTGGGACCCCTGTGATTATTAGGAGAATTAACGCACATAAATACCATTGCGTTGAGTAATACCGCCTCTAGGAATCAAACAATCCAAATGATCTGTTGTAATGGAAAATCATGTTTCGCATCTCTCCAGTACAAGCTCGGGAGCGACCATTTGCCTCGGCTCCCGGCAGTTATCAGGGTCAGATCCCCAGTCTGTCACCGCATGTGGGCTGTTCTGAAAGGTTTACTGAGCAAAAGCTGCTTTGGACACTGAGCTGTTTAGCTTAATTGGATTCAGTGCTCACTTTCTCTTCCCAGGCCCGAACCATTTAAACTCTGAAGATAGGATTAATCACGCTGCAGCGCCCTCTGCTCTGTACACGTGTGGCGGTCTGGTGGGAGCCCTGAGACGTACAGACCTACCTTAGGGATCGGGATCGGGATCGGGATCGGGAAGCTTGTCTCTGCTAGGGCTTGCACCTTAAAAATTCTCAGCCACTTTATTTGAATCTATTTTAAGTGACCCAGGTGTCTGACCTGGGATATTGTGCAGAATTGGATTCATAATGTAATTCAATTCCACTATTTAGAAGTGCTTATGATTGATGAACAGTACTTCCATTAATATCTATTTTTATTTGCCATTTGAAACCCAGAACCTAGGCCTCCTTTCTCAGCACAACCCCAGGTAATGCTGTATATGTCCTAAATTCACGTTTACTACATCAGCATTAAACACTCCCTGTAAAGTATAGAACAAGCTCAGTGTAGGCAGTTTAGCACTGAGGGAGGGCTGAGAGGTTGGGCTTTATTGTTAAACAGTAGTAATACTGTACAGTATGTACAATAGCAATACGAGTCAGACTGCAGTATGCAATGCTGCCGTGCGTATCTTTGTTTCATGGGTCTCCAAACAGTGAGGCTAAGGCATTGTCG